TGTGTCAAAACAACTATTTTCTATTTTTTTTGGTGGATGGTTCCTTCTCAATAATCAAACAATCGTGTTGTATTACTCAAAAAAGATCCAAATCCCATGGTTCTGTTTAAATTAAAGGGAATCAATGAAATGGGTCGTTTTAAAGGAACAACTAATTTTATTTCCAGACTCATAAAACAAAGTATCTCAATAACTAGGAAAAATATTATGAGACTCAGACTGCATCTTCATAGTCAAAATCAGTTTTTGAGCCAAAACCTTCGATATCATCCTCAAAGTATTGAGGAAAAATACAAACTTGAATTTGGTTTCTATTTGAATACTTATATAAATCACCCCGTATTATATTTTATATATCTTGATGTATCACCATAACAAAAAAAAAAAAAGAACAGTTGTTTTCTGAAGAATTGAAAAATAAAAACTTCTGAAAAGTACGAATTCTATTCTGTGTATAATTTGAACTGGTTATGGGTCCAGACATGGAGAATAACGAAGTCAAGATGGATAAACTCCTGGACGGGAGGAATTGGGCAGAATGGAAGTTCCAAATGAAAGTCATCCTCAAATCTGCTGACATTTTCGAAATTGTGACAGGATCATGTCACAAGCCAGTGGAGCCAATTAATCAGATCGGGGATGGAGAAGCAGAGGTACAGAGGAGACAATACATGACCGAATTAAGTAGGTGGAATAAAGCAGATGCGAAAGCACAGAAGTTGATAGTAATATCAGTTGAGAAGCAGCCGCTTCAGCATTTAATGTGTTGCGATACTTCAAATGAAATGTGGGAGAAGCTACACAGGATATATGAGCAAAAATCAGAGGCGAGTTTACATCTAGTGCAGCAACAGTTTTATAGCTATATCAAAAGTTCTTCTGATGACATGGCTACACACATTTCAAAATTGGAATCTCTTGGTCAGCAACTCAAACAGTTGGGGGAGCCAATACCAGATTCAATGATGATCACAAAAATTCTGATGACTTTACCTACTGAGTATAGCCATTTCTACAGTGCCTGGGAATCAACAACGGAGGATAGAAGAAATTTAGATAATTTGACTTCAAGGCTACTACTAGAAGAATCCAGAATTATCATGTTACAGAACAATGCTGCATCATCATCATCATCATTTGAGTCACCAGCTGCTTTGGCAGCGGGAAAATGGAGATCAAATCCCGATTCTTCAAGAATTGACCATGAAGATGAAACACATCCTAAAAGGAAGCCAGGTAAATGTTATGTGTGCGGCAAAGCAGGGCACTGGGCAAGAAGCTGTTTTCTTCGTAAGGGAGTTAGAGAAAAGAAGGCGAATCCTGTCGAGGCAGGGATGGATAATTTTGAAGCATTTGTTGGAACAAGTGGAACACGATCTATTGATGAAAACGTACAGGATGTTGCAGACGATTGGTTCGTGGACTCAGGGGCTAGCGACCATATGACGAGTAGGAGGGAATGGTTTGTTCATTACGTAGTCTTCCAGCAATCTTTGCCAGTTCGAGTTGGCAATGGAGAGATTATCCAAGCAGAAGGAAGAGGAGACATCAACATTTTGAGCTTTGTGAACGGGAATTGGGTTAAACGACGTTTGTCTGATGTTCTATATGTGCCAAAAATTAAACTTAATTTGTTTTCAACAGGTACTGCTCTGGATAAGGGTCTTAAGATGATATCGGATGAAAAGGAGTGCAGATTCATGATGAATACCAATGTTGTAGCTATTGGAGTTCGACAATCAAGATTGTACAGGCTATTATTCAAAGTGATTAACCCAGTATCTGAAGAAGACAGAAAAGAACCTGAAACCCCAAAAGCAAACATAGCAGTTATTGAATCTTTACGAATATGGCACGAACGTCTGGCACACCAAAATATTCGTCAGGTGAGAAATTTTCTCAAAGAAAATAAAATTGAATATACAGAATGTAGCCGAGATTTTTTCTGTGATGCTTGTCAGTTGGGAAAGCAACATAGGCAACCATTCTCCACTAGTTTCACGAAAAGTGTGTCTCCTGGAGAATTGATTCACACCGATCTCTGTGGACCAATGTACAATGTTTCATTGGGTGGTTCACGATATTTCTTGTTGTTCAAAGATGACTATTCTCATTTCCGCATTGTATATTTCCTCAAAACGAAATCTGAAGTCAAAGATGAGCTGAAGTCTTTTATCAATTATTCAAGAACACAGTTGGAGAAAACAGTGAAATGTATACGTTCTGATAATGGTTCCGAGTATGTGAATAAGGACATATCAACTTTCCTTGATGAAAATGGAATAATACATCAGAAGACAGTACCCTACACCCCAGAACAAAATGGGTCAGCTGAAAGAGATTTGAGAACAATCATAGAAGCAGCAAGAACAATACTCTATGGCAAAAAAATGGATCTGACATTTTGGGCAGAAGCAGTTAATACAGTGGTACATGTATTGAATAGAACAGGAACGAGTTCTATTGAGGGAAAAACTCCATTTGAGTTATGGCATGGAACAAAACCCAAAATTGACTACTTCAGAATATTTGGTACAGAAGTATATACTCATATACCTAAAGCAAACAGGCAAAAATGGGATGCTAAGAGTAAAAAGGGCATTTTTGTTGGATATTCTGAAGAAACCAAAGGTTTCAGAGTATGGTACCAAGAAGAGAAAAAAATAGGGTACAGCAGGGATATTTTATTCAAGAATGAACAGAATGTGAATGGTCCAGCAGAAGAGGCAAGAAAAATATTTACTGTGAGAGAACGAGCAGAAGATGATGATAGAGTACAAAATGATCAAGAAGAAGATAGTCAAGATGTGGAAAATGAGAGACAAGTTTTACAGTTCGGAAATACCTGTGATGATATTGAAAATCAAGGGGACACTGGAGGAAATGTGGTGGATCCAACTGAGCTTAGGAGATATAACTTGAGGGAAAGACAAGAAATAGTTCCACCATCGAGGTATGCTGATTATGATATTGCAATGTGTTTAGTTAATATACAAGACGATTTACCATCGACGTATACAGATGCTATGCAATCAAACAATAATGATAAATGGAAATTGGCAATGGATGAAGAAATCAACTCTTTGAATGAAAATAGAACATGGGAATTGGTTGAATTGCCCAAAGACCGTAAGGCTATTGATAATAAATGGATTTTCCAGATTAAAATGAAAGCAGATGGATCGGTTGATAGATACAAAGCACGTTTAGTCATAAAAGGATTTCGTCAACAATATGGTATCGATTATCAAGAGACATTCAGTCCAGTAGTTAGATTTGATTCCATAAGAATGATTTTGGCAATTGCAGCAGCTGAAAACTTGAAGCTAAAACAATTTGACATAAAAACAGCATTCCTTTATGGTGAGTTACTGGAAGAAATATATATGGTTCAACCGAGAGGTTATGAAGATGGTACAGGGCGAGCCTGTAAATTGTTGAAGAGCTTATACGGATTGAAACAAGCTCCAAGAGTTTGGAATGAAACTTTCACAAATTTTCTGAAGAATTTCAATTTGGAAATCACGAAAGCAGATCCTTGTGTATTTTTCAGAAGAAATGATATATCAACAGTATATCTAGCATTATACGTTCTCGATATTCTCGACTCTGTAAAAGTCAATTGCATCTTTGGGAAGAAACTTTAGTAAGGTCTTGATGTCATCCCATTTTTTCTTCGAGATGGCTTTTCCTTCAGGGTAAAGAATTTTCAATTTTTGAGGATCAATGGGAATTTTTTTGCCTCGTGTTATTTTCAAAATATCTATTTCTTTGAAATCATTCTCTTCAGGTGAGTGGGACTCACACAAAAATATCGAATTTGGTTTCGACTTCTCAAGTTTTATTATTTTTGTTTTCAACCAACTCACTTTCTCTTTATTAGTAGTCAATTTCCTGTTTGAAATTTGTTTCTCAATATCCTCAGTTGAGTAAAAATCATCGGACTCCATCAGGTTTATTACAAATTTATGATGTTTCTTACAATTTCCTATTACTGACATAAAATCTTTCAGTGTATAAATGCGAACCTGATTTTTGAGCGCCCTTTCTATTTGCCCAAAATCTGTGTCGTTCGGCAAAAAACTGTGCCCGGACTCAAGATATTTGAAATAAACTACATTCAATGTTGGGTGCTGCATCAAAACTGTTTTTAACATAATCACAATTTTTATGTTACGATTTTGGCCACCACAGCTATCTGACCACAATATTAATTCCTCTACTCCCTTCTTAAGGTGCACATCGATGAATTTTTTAATACATGAGCCGACTTCTTGGGCTCCTCGCCCTGCTACCCCCTCTTTCCACAAAAAGCAATATGGAGTATTCGTTGATCCTGAATGAATACCCTCATTGAAAATACTTAATTGTCTCTTATAATAGACAATATTTGTTGGTAACTTAGGTAATCCCAGAACCTTTTCCATATCATAACAAAGGGTTTCAATATGTCGGTTTTTACTCGCTTCTCTCATATCTTTGTTGAGCTGTTCTCTAGCAAGCTGCGCCCTTTCAAGATGCACATCATGTTGTTGTTTCAAAACTAGTTGTTGGTTCTCATCTTGTGCATTTTTCACTTGTGAAGAATACATGTCACACTTGTTACATGTATCTTTAATTGGGGGTTTCCGTTTCAAATTGAAATGTTTATAAAATATATTTTTGAAGAACTGAAAACTAACTTTTGGATGATTGTCAGCTATATACAGTTCATACATTTTACTCTCAGTAAGGTCGTAAGGCAAGAATTTCGCCTCAGTTTCTGATCGAGAGTAATGAGAAACATAGGTTGGAAATTTCTTTATATGATTGATGATTAGATTTATTATTTCTTCATCAACTTTCTTCTTACCTCCAGATTTTCCTCGCTCATCTTTTATGTGGGAGCTACGTTTTTTTTCTAATGCAGTATTTACTCTCTTAGTAGATATCTGATAAGTGTTTATATAAGTATCCCGGCAAACTTCAACCTTTCCAAGCATATAGACTCTAGTATAAGATTAACCTGGACCATTTTTAGCTCGTTTTCTCTTAATAGGCATTTCTTTGACTGTTGCTGCGATATAACTAGTTTGCAAATCGTATGATGCTAAATCATAAAAATTTTTGAAATATATTCCTTTTTCATCTCCTGATAATTTTTCACTGCATTTTTTCAGACAGCTGCATTTGTAGTCGATGAATTGTTTGGCTTCTTTCAATTTTCCTTTGACAGTGTAGTGAGTCTTATTGGCATCTTTCAATTTCTTTCTTGTGGCAAAAGTTTGTCCAGGATATTTATTATTCCGTCCTTTCTTGGAACGTCCTTTCCAATTTTCCTTTTCTTGCTTTAATTTCTGCTTCCTCTCAATCTCCTCTTCATCAAATAGCAAGTCAACTTCTCCTTCCTCTAAACTACTAACACTTTCCGAATCAGGAATATAGTCTCGGTCTTTCATACTATCATCGGAATCTTCGTTTTGTATTTCCTGTTCAATGTTATTTAATTCGTAATTATTGTAATTATTATCAATAACCATTTCTTCAAGTGAGTCCTCATCAGGAATCGCAATTTCTTCAAGTAAGTCTTCATTGTTCTGGCATTGAAACTCCAAGTTTTCTGGTTCTTTATGTTCTGTATTCATAATGTTCGTTCCTGAAATAAAAGGGATATTCTGTAAATTTTGATTTTATGTATTGAAATTATTAAATACTATCATTTTAAATGATTATTATCATTATGATTTTTCACCTGGGCTAATTGGATGAGAAATTACGATGCCTTCATTGAATTCGTCAATAATAGGAACTCCTTCAACTATCACTTTCAAATTCAGAGGTGAATGTTTATTTCTCAATTCATTCTCCTTGTTTTCATCAGTGTGTATCCCTGAAGTTAATAACAATGGATTTCTAGATAGGTAATGGAATGTATTTGATTTCGAAATGAATATTTTTACCTGATGAACATAGCCTAGGAATCTGAATTTTTTCGATTGGACTTTTGAACACAAGAATTTCCTTGATTATTATATTCTGACTTGATTCGGTGATAGTTGGGTCTTCAAGATTCGGAACTTGAATGATCTGGTTGTTCGTTTTTTTATTCTCAAAGTTCTGAATGTTTGCACCTTCAATAAGTAAGAATAGGTCAGTATACAGAATGTATTCAAGTATTCGCGAAAAATGTATTGGTACCTATGTGTACACTTACCTGATGAATCTACTTCTTTAGAAGTGGTATTCTGTGGATGACCAGATCCACATGGTTCCTTGGGGATGCAAAATAAATACGTAATGAATATTTCTTCACATTCCCGAAATAATATCTAAAAAGAACCATTCGCCCTTTGGTTCGTGATTCGGCTCCAACTATAATGGCTTAATGGCGGTTGGTTCGTTTTAGATATCATTCTCCATAAGAATACCAGAAAAAACTGAACAAAAACTGTGAAATGTCTAAAAAGAACGAATATTCACAAGGAAATGCAATGATTCTCAAGAAAAAATATTAAGAACTGAATACTTTCGAGACATAACCTATACAAATTTACCCACTTCATTACATTGGTTGAGTTTCAGTCTTTTCGGTTCGGACTGGTCATCCTCCTTGAGTCGTAATGCCTTATCGACAATGATTTGAGCTCTTTTACCCATTTTCTGTCCGTATAGAATACGAAATACATGAAAACCAACACTCACTGTTATCACAAACACGAATGACTTAAAACATAAAAGGAACCAAGTGACACTGATCATTTTCTATAAACGGTAACGTCAGTTGGATCTCTTTCAATAACAGGAAACTGCTTTTTTCTTCGATGTCGCTTAGGTCTTTAGTCGATAGATGTCGCTAGAAATCCAGTAGGCGCTTGATACTTTTCACAGAATAATGAATGAATGCCAAGCTGTCGCATGGAACCTTCATCTTATTTCATGCGATTTGGCGGTTGGTTCCTTTTCAATTAGCATCATCCATATCTGGATTGAGCTCATTGACCTAAACGATAAAAAGTTTACGAAATTTTTTCCCAGCCCCCCTGGGAGCACTTTACTCGTTTATTTTTTCATAAAATCTTGCGGACTGGGTATTTTTAACAATAAAATCATCTCAATTTTCTCAAGAATCGATTCATCCCATTAGCTTACACGATGAATAGTTTTTAAAGTTTCTCCCCAGCCCCCCTGGGGAGCACTTTACTCGTGTGTTTTTTCATAAAATCTTGTGGGCTGGGTATTTTTACCAGTAAAGTCATCTCAATTTTCTCAAAAATCGATTTATCTCACAAAACTACAGGTTTAAAATGTTTTTAAAATTTTCCGCAAGCCTTCGTGGGGAGCTCTTTACTCGTTTGTTTTTTCATGAAATCTTGCGAACTGGGTACTTTTTTGAGTCAAATCATCTCAATATTCTCAAAAATCGATTTATTCCATGAGCATACACGATGAATAGTTTCTAAAATTTTCCCCTAGCCCCCCGGGGAGCACTTTACTCGTGTGTTTTTTCATAAAATCTTGCGGACGCTGATGAGGCGTCATTTGAATAAGCAAAATAGGGTACAAAAAAAACATCCTATCATAGATGAGAGAGAGAGAAGAACACCAATTCCTACCTTATTTCCCTTGGTTCTCACGATGTTCTCTGAACATTACAGGCTCGATTACAGGATATCCCTTTTCGTGGGAACCAGAACATAAAAAATGTATAATATCAAAACAAAAAAAAATAAATTTGGTAACAACAGAAATAATATCACATTTTTCAGTATTGTCAGTATCGCATATTTGAAATATGAAAATGTAAACATGCCGGAAGATTTTATGAAAAAACACACGAGTAAAGTGCTCTCCAGGGAGGCTAGAAAAAAATTTCATAAAACTTTTCATCGCGTGTATTTTCATGAGATAAATCTATTTTTGGTAAAATTGATTTGACTTGCGAAAATACCCAGTCCGCAAGATTTTATAAAAAAACACACGAGTAAAGTGCTCCCCAGGGGGGCTAGAGAAAATTTTCAAAATCATTTTATCGTGTATTTTCATGAGGAAAATCGATTTTCAGTAAAATTGAATTGATTTGACTCACAACAAAAATACCCAGTCCGCATGATTTTATGAAAAAACACACGATTGAAGTGCTCCCCAGGGAGGTCAGTGAAAAAAATCAGAAACTTTTTATCGTGTAGTTCAATAAACTGAATCCAGATATGCAACTGAAACAACGATTTATTTGCTGGAAATAGCCAGTCCGCAGCATTTTATTCCAGTCCGCAAATTATACACACCCCAATTTCTGTATATAATTTGAAAGTTGTTACTTCGACAAAACTGTTTCATACCAGAAAATTGAAAAATACCAAAAACTAAATGTTGCAATAGAACATTCAAATTTGAGAGGAATGTATAAAATCGGGAAAGAAATAATTTCGCGTAGTGTATGTTTTTGAAATCCAAACGAGTAAGCGTACTTCAAATGATTGATTTGAAAAATTCTTACTTTTAACATCTAGTGAAAGTCACGTGACTCCGACCTAGCCAGCCATTTTAGATATATGTTACTTAAATCTCTTTATTTTCATATTTGAGACTTTTTCTGAAATAAGTACCAAGTGATTCGAAAGTTTTCTTTTACATTTGTTTCTCACACCTACCTATTACACTTATATAATCTCTGCTTAAACTATAAGCTTGGGCATGTTTTGAATGTGTATGACACTGTATTTATCGTTTGAAGTAATTGTATGTACCTAATTTGGCGTTTTCAGCTTTCATTCATATCCACAGGAGTAATTAAATATTTCGTGCATAGAAACATTTTTTCTTTTCCAAAAATGATCAATGAATAGATGAATTTGTTTGTGGAATAGAATCGGATCATAATTACAAAACTCGTCTCCAAATTGGTTCTGCAATCTTGAATTTCGTAATTTTTACGGAAGAATCATAATCTCCGACCCCGAAAACTCCCAAATACAAATTCTGAATAGAATCGGATCATAATTACAAAACTCGTCCGCCATCTTGTATTTCCTAATTTTCATGAAAGAATCATAATCTCCGACCCCGCGAAAACCTTCAGATACATTTTTAATAGAATCGGATCATAATTACAAAACTAGTCCGCCATATATAGGTTCCGCCATCTTGTTTTTCCTGATTTTGACTAAAGAATCATAATCTTCGACCCCGAAAACCTTCAGGTATCAATTTTGAATAGAATCGGATCATAACTACAAAACTCGTCCGCCATCTTGAATTTCCTAATTTTGACGAAAGAATCATAATCTTCGACCCCGAAAGCCCCCAGATACAAATTTTGAAGATAATCAAATCATAATTACGAAACTCGTCCGCCATATATTGGTTCCGCCATCTTGTATTTCCTTATTTTGACCAAAGGATCATAATCTTCGACCCCAAAAACCTCCAGACACCAATTTTGAATAGAATCGGATCATAATATTTAAAAAACTTGTCCGCCATATTGGTTCCGCCATCTTAAACTCTCTAATTTTTTCGAAAGAATCATAATCTCCGACCCCGCAAACCCCCAGATACAAATATTGAATAGAATCGGATCATGATTACATGATCGTCCGTCATATCGGATCCGCCATCTTGAATTTTCTAATTTTCACGAATTTTAATACTTTTTATTATCCCATTCCGGACTAAGAGAAATCCGAAAATAATCAGATATATTGGACTTACTTTTATATAGATAATTAATGTACCTAGATAATTCGTAATTTTGAAATATAAATTAATTATTATTCGTATTTCATAAATAAATGTCAATATTTTCAAGTAGTCACGGCGTGAATCCAAACTCTCCTTGAAAATAATCATCGTCTCGGCTGGTCTCGGTCATCTCAGATATAATAAATTAGCACTACCAATATATTAGGAGTCTTGGCAACGATGTAAATACCAGTGAATGGACGTAGTAAATATCGATTTTACTACAGCTTCAATATTCTATCCACCATAGACAGCGACATCTGTTGAAACACATTCACAACTCGAAAGCCGTTGCCTCTCATGCCATATACAGTGTTTATCTATGGTCTGTATAATCTCTGACTTTACAAAAAATACACAAATTGTGTAAGAATTCAATAATACAAATTTCACAGGTTTGTGTTATCTGCCAATATGAATATTTTAGTGAAATCATCATTACAAGATTATTTTTCCCACATTCTCAAATAACGAATTAAAATTCTGAAATTTGGGACATGGGATTATCAAGGATAATCTATTCATCTAGAACGTTTATTATCTATGTATCTATTCATTTTTCATCTAGAATATTTTCAATTCACTTCAATGCTCACATGAAGTTGGCAACAACTTCCTTATTTCAAATGAGAAATCGTACAGAAAAAACGTTGTTAAAATCCTGGTTTATCATTCTGATAGGCACATAACTGCATGATTCGATACTAAAATGAAGTAAATACAGTTATATGGTATTACTTTATTGGAGACACGGAAGGGACCAAATTTTGATATAAACGAAAAAGAGGATGAATCATGAATATCTGCACAGAATGGAATGATCGAAATTAGCAACTGAACTTCTATTGAAAAATAAACAAACATGTTGAAATCAAACATTTCTGATCATACATGAATTCAAACATAATCATCCATAACGAATAGGAATCAATATTCTCCCATTGAAAGAAAAAATTTGACAAGGTGTATTGGACAAAATATATTTTCAATCTTGTATGAATTTTTTTGTTGATCATAGTCGGTTTGCTTGACTTCGGAAGCATAGTGATGTGTGCAGAATGCAACTGTATTCATGACACTAAACAAAATAAAAGCTTCAGTATTGTTGAATAAAAACAATTTTTTTTCGAGATTCAAAATCAACAGATATCCTAGCTTATATAGATTCCCAATATTTCAACCACTCGACAGAAACAATGCTCAAAATCATGAAAATATCGATAATATTTTACCAAACTCAGTGGACTCTCGAGGCCATGTTCCACGTTCATGATACGATCAGTAACGTTAAGATTTTTACATAACTCCAGTTGTAACTTGTTAGTTAGTGTATAGAAGTCATTTCAGATTGCCTATGTATTTGTTCAGCTATCATGCTCCATAAATGTATGATGGGACCACACATTTGTGAAATCTCATAATAATGTGATAAATGGTGATGTTTAGGTTTCAATTTCCCAAAATATTTAATATATGTAGAGTGATATTCTTCGATAATAACTTGAAGTTTTTGGTAACTACTTTTATGAACAGTTGGATATGTCACCATAGCTGTAATCTCTTTTAATTTGATCCATATATTCCATACAGGTAATTTTGAAGAAGCTAAGTCATCGATAAACAGGCCTAAGTATCTCGTGAAACACAGCATTTTTCTTGCAAACATTTTGTGCTTAGTTTAGAGATTATCAAATGACAAAAGTGGTGGCTTGTTAACTCTCTCTCTCTCACACAATAATTGAAATATTGAATTCTTGAATTGAATGTATCAAGGGAGAGAAGCTTATCATCATTAATGAGATTTTGCAGAAGGTAAGTCAAGTCATCCACACAGACTCCTTCAGAAAGGTCGTGCATTATATCGACACTGTAATTGGGTGTCACATGAAATCTAGGTAAATTGTTCCAATTGCATT